GCTGCACTCTTTCTTTTTTGTCATTTGCAATTATTTCGAAGAAATCTTAGTTCTAAGAAACTCCTTCGAACCGTCTAACGTAAACAATTAAATTTTCTACCGCGTTGATGTGATTTGCATAATTGCGGTTTGCAGAGAAAATCGGTTCGACTATAAACCGATCGTTTCGCATTGTCATTGCATCGCGCGCCATGGGAAATCGTCCGCGTTCTAATAATTACGCGCGTTGCCGCGTCCGAGCCTATGTTTCTCTGATTAAGTAATAGTGGAAAGTAACCGTGGCACGTGTGGAAAAAAACACAATTAGCAACAACGTCGAGATAATGCACCGCTCGTCGAGGCGCGTCGAAACGCACTTTTCGCGGTTGCTTTCGCGCCGTGACCTCCTTTTTATCAATTCCACATGACATTTAATTCGGGTTGAAATTACTCCTTGCTGACTCAGTCGCCCGATGTGCCCTCGAGATAGCGGTGTTTGATACACAAACCATCGGAGGCGAGGGGGGAGGGAAGTAATATTTAGAGCAATCGTACAAGTCGATTAATTGGCCGAGAATTCCGAGACGATTCGGATAAAATTAATACCGATAGATTGGTATCAGTTGATTAACCGTTTGAGTATCAAACGGCGCGATGGCTCTCCGCTACACTGACTAAAAATCAGTTCATTGGTTCGTACAATCAGAGCTTATGTATTTCTTCTCTTAATTACTCATTTTTATTCTTGTTATTACCCACTTAGAACTGGATAAATTTAACGGTCGAACTATTTCAAATTTGCATTTAAACTCTGATGAAACGATTACTATTTTTGCAATACATCTGATTATTCTTATTACTATTGATGAGTTGCAAATAATCCTACTTCAAGACTTCATAAACAACAACAAAATTAAACAGAAAAAGAGGTAATTCGTTGCTAAGTGAAAAATGGGAAATCTCCCCATTCAGTGGGGTCTTTCAGTCGCCATTTGATTTGACCCAAGAAAATTGTAAAATTGAAAATTCATTATTAAATTTTATATAATGTACGAACACATGGAACATCGAAATAAAATAGTTCTGTCGCTTAATTTATGGAATGTATTTCTTTATGTTAATTGCAAAAAATATCAAAATTGACATTCCATCAAAAGATAATGAATATTTATTGAGCAAAATATTCTCGAGTGCAAAGGGTTGATACAGCTCGTGCACATACAGTTGTCAAGAAAAGCAGATGTTAGCCTTAATAGCGAGCGGGAAATTTAATCTACTGTGTATAAAGGAGTTAAGTTATGTTGAAGGTGCTACGGAAGTTAATGCAGGTAAGTCACGTCTGCGTAAGTGGCCGATAACCAGCGTCTCGGTGAAGTCACGCACTCGTGACACTGGCCCTTATAATGTGCATAGGTATTTCCAAGTTATATTCCTTCATCGATACGGGTGTGAATATATTTCAATGTAGTTCAAGTATTTCCTTCAAACGTGTATCGGTAAGAGGCCATTAATTATATGCTTCATAAAAAGAAGTATGTTCGACCACGTACATCCTGCAAATTAGCTTCTTACGTGAAGTTTTTAGTGCTTTTAAAATAAGAAAATAGTCGAAGGCAGGATACGAATGGCGAATATACTCACTGCAACGACAATTGGAAAACCGCTAGAATATGGCTCGTAGATGATTACAAAATTACAAAAACATTCAATAAATATTCAAAAATTGTGAATATCGTACGAGTAATTTGAAGCTTACTTTGAATATTCTCTATTTTATCAACCACTTGTGAAATACGGCTAATGAATTTTAAACAGCAATGAAAGCGCAATAAAGTTTCAGTCGCCACAACGACATAATTGACTTGCTCTATGTATCTAAATTTCGCAATTTAAAACAGTATTTTTGAAGACTTTTTAAATCATTAAATATAATAATATTGTGTCTTTCATCGTGCAAACTTATTTTTTGATATATTATGACTTATTTATAGACTGTACCGTAAATCAAGTACAATAATTTCGTTTCACATATAACTTTAAATACATTTAGTTTCAAAAATTTTTAAATGTGAGATTAAGTTTTAAACACAAAGAAGCCCACGTTCAATACGAAGCTTCCTAATTCAATGAAATTTAAAAACAGTCGTAGCTCTTTTCTTGCATAACGTAAGTCGCATTAATCCTCTTGCAGAGTACTGAAAACGAGGAAATTAGAAGAGATCCTTTTAATGTACTTAACGCGAATGGAATACGTATTTTTCGTTCGCATTCGATAAAATGGCAAAAATGAGACTTTCATGAAATACGAATCACAAATTAATAAAGTCACACACGGAGCAATTATTATATAAAGAATACTAAAATTTTAATTTCCGCTTCCGCGTGTTCGTTTCAGGCTTGACTTTTTTTAATGTCACGTTCTCGCTGTGCGATTATTTTTGCCCGGTACTGTATATGCAAATTCTCGGGCCGCACTCTTCAAATATGGAATTGCAACGCGATATGTAAAAGACATACGAGTTTGCATGTCAAGCTTCAGGCAGAGTCGCATGCCCGCGTCGAAAACGTATAATTTTTCGAAAATTTCATTCTGTCGTCAGTTAAGTTCCCACCAGATAATCGGATAATTTCGATTTGCGTGTAAAGATCGGTGTACAAACATTTAGGTAATTGTTACCAATTGTTAGTACATCTCAGGTAATTTGCATAACCTTCGAACGTACATGCTTCATTATCTACGGTAATGTGCATACATGCATGATCGAACCGATTCTTGAAAAAAAATCGATTCTCTATTACTAAAGGAAAACTCTTTTATGCATCGTCATACTTCATAGAAGTCGAAGATTATCGTACAATATATCGACCGATCGATCTATCGCTGTTACTAAGAATTTCATATACCGCATAACCTATTAGTAATTGTACCACTGTAATTAGTAAAAACTTTATAGACAACGTACCCTATCCATGTATCATCGCGTCAAAATTATTAGTCCATGAAAATACAGCATAAATTTATATAAAATCAGAATCGAAAGAGCGGAAAGTTGCTGGCGGCAAAAAACTTAGAAAACAAACAACTGAGACGGACACTGTACCATACACTAACTGTAGTCCGAGTTTCCGAAAACTGAGCGATGCACTGAACACGCCGGCGAGTTACGAACAATGAGAATCAACACTAACGTCTACGAACAGGTCTACGCACTTTGCTCGTCGGTTCGAGTGTAACCGTCGAGCAACGGAATTTCCGCGAAAATGACATCGCCTATTGCCGATACCGCCTAATTCCAGCCGCGACGCCGCGATTCCCATTTACACGAAGAACCGTCGATGCAACCGTTAATTTACGTTTGAACCTGTTTCGTCAGCGTTTCGCCGCGAATTTTTAATGAGGCATCGTTACGCAACGCGTTGGACACATCGGACAGTCCTCGCACGCTCGACGGGCAATCGCGTCGTCCCGGCGATCGATGAACGGAAGAAAACCGATACACGCAACAGGAAAAAGAAAGAAAGAAAACGGGAAAGCAAAAGTCCGTTGACTCACCTGAAATTTGCCCCCGTGAACCGGTGCTCCTTGGTTCTGCATCTTGTGCGACATTCTCCGGTTCGAACGAGCCTCGATTCGAGCCGCGTATCAAATCACTGATTCCGAAGAAGTTTGGCGAGCAGCGGCGCGTTTACTCTCGCTCTAACGAGCCGTGGTTTCTCGATCGATCGGTAAACGGTCGACGGTGCGAGTTTCCTCTCTCGCTTCTTCCGTTCGTCTGGTCTGATTCACTTTTGCCGGTCGCCGAACGAAAAAACGCCGTCGTCGTCAAAGAAATAGATAGACAGAGGTGAAGAGTGACAGAGACAGAGAGACACACACGCGATCGTGCACCACACACGGTGCTTGTGCTGCGACTAGTAACAGACTATCGCGAGCCGTGCGATATATAATACCGCGCGCGAACAATCTTCCCCGAATGATACGAGCAGCGAGCAAACTTTTCAATGAACCGCCCCTCTTGACGCGCACGCTCGTTCTGAACCTTCTCCTTTCCTTCCTCTTGACTTTCTTCCACGCTTTCTCCCTGCCTCGGTCACGCGCTGAACCGCTCTGAAGGGAATGGTAGACCGGCGGGAGGGGGCTCGGCGGCGGAGGGCAGCGGGGGAGGGGGGCAGAGCGTGCACCCGTCCGAAGGAAGACACTCAAAGGGTGGGAGAAGAATGAATAGGCGAAGCCGCCGAGGGAGAGGGTAAAACAGCGGGGAGACGATTCCGTGTCCCTGGGGATAACCTGGTTCCAGAGGCCCGATCAACGCGAGTGGAGACGCCGCCGAGTTGAC